CGGGTGTACGAGCTGAAGATTCAGGGCTGGAGGGCCGGTTCTTTGGCGGGGCCATGATGGGCGATGCGTCGTCGACGACTGGCACCGGGACCAGCCATTCGGGAAGCGGTCGGGCAGACCGCGACGACGATTGGGTGGAACCAACGAAGACGGGCGACGACGAGTATCAGATGACGCATCGACCGGACGTTGCCTACCACGAAGACAACTTCCTCACGTCGGCCAACCTCTGCCGGTGGATCATCAACTTCGAGGACATCCAGATGGGCCGGCAGGTGGGCCTGGGCTCCTACGGCGTCGTGTACCGCGGTCGGTGGAAGGGCGTAGAGGTGGCGGTGAAGCGGTTCATCAAGCAGAAGCTCGACGAGCGATGCATGCTCGAGTTCAGGGCCGAGATGGCCTTCCTCTCGCAGCTGCACCACCCCAACATCGTCCTCTTCATCGGTACATGTCGCCGCCTCTCATTATTCAATTCTGTGTTTGCGCTTATTTTTATTCATTTATATATAATTTCCTAATTTCTGATTATTGATATTCGTATTTCAGGGGCGTGCGTGAAGCGACCCAATCTGTGCATAGTGACGGAGTTCGTGCATCAGGGCGCGCTGAAGGACATCCTGCACAATCCGTCGATCAAGCTGCCCTACCAGCAGAAGCTGCGCATCTTGCACAGCGCGGCGTCGGGCATCGGCCACCTTCACTCGCTCGAGCCGGCCATCATACACCGCGACCTCAAGCCGTCCAATCTGCTGGTGGACGAGAACTGGAACGTGAAGGTGGCCGACTTCGGGTTCGCGCGCATCAAGGAGGAGAACGCGACCATGACCCGCTGCGGCACGCCCTGCTGGACCGCGCCCGAGGTACTGCGCGGTGAGAAGTACTCGGAGTCGGCTGACGTGTACAGCTTTGGTATCATCATGTGGGAGGTACGGCGCACCACTACCACGCAGCGCTCAACTTTAGATGTGTGAGTGTCGGACGCTGACTGTTGATGGTGACGTGCTGTGCTGTGCTGTCCGCTCAGGTCTTGACGCGTAAGCAGCCCTATGCCGGCCTCAACTTTATGTCAGTGTCACTTGACGTGCTGGAAGGCCGCCGGCCGAAAGCGCCAACTGATTGTCCCAGTGGTATGTAGCTCGCCTTTCCGTGGTGGTGGGTGGTGCATAGCTGATGATGATGTGCCTATATATGGCACGCCCAACCAACCTTCATTTCAACAACACAGACTACAAACAGCTGATGAAGAAGTGCTGGCATGCAGTACCATACAAAAGACCCTCCATGCAAACCATCATCAGCTTCTTTGAGAGCCATCAAGGGAGTGGTGAGGCAGGAACTGACCGTGTGTAACAAGCAGCACCCCAACAAAATTTTTTGGGTGTGAGCCCCTCTCAACGTTTATTGCGTTGCTGCAGCACACACGGTGGATATTCACATAGGCCACAGAAAAACCGTCTCACCTTCGTCGGTCATTTTGGCCTGGTACCCCTTCCATCTCGTGGCCCTTTTTTGCTGGCCCCAACTCCTCTCTTGCCACCACTGGTCCGTACCTTAGACCCCCCCCACCCAAGCTTCAAATCTCTCCTTCATTTCTTGAAATTATCCTTCTGCCTCGATTCCGTTCGCATTGCTCCTTCTGCTGATTCGCATGAGGCTACGTTTAGGCCTGCGAGTAAGCCACATTGCCTTGGGCATGGCTCACCCTCATTCTAACCCGTACTCTGCCCCTGCTTATCGGTGGAATATTGACCTTTGGGCGACAGGGTCATGGAAACACGGAGAACTGCCACACAGCGAAGCTTGTTTCTCTTCCCGCTTTGTCCAAGACAATCACACAGGTGGCTGTCGGCGAGCATCACAGCCTTCTCCTCACCGGTACCAGTTCCCCCAGTCTCCTCCTAAGGTGGACGTGGCTGAGCTAACAATCGGCATTGGGTGGGTTCAACTCGAGCAGAGGGTGGGGAAATGTTTGCCTTCGGCTTGGTACAAACGAACTCCTCTCGGCGGCGGCATTGCAGAGCACGCGTGCATTATCTCGCCAAGTCCTACTCGTGGCTTTCTCGATGTACGACCGCAAGATCTTCCCCTTTCACGCGTGTGCGGGCGTGCATGTGTGCGTGCGTGCGTGCGGTGCACACTCATCGCAAACCGCGAGGAGACAGACAACAGCAACTCACGGGTGATGGTTTATGGTCTCTCTGTTGATGTCATCAGCATCGAATGAGAAGCGTACTTTGGTCGCTGTT